ATCAACATCAGTATCTTATTAAAGACAGAGAACAAATAACAACAATTCTTGCCAACATTTTACTGAAGACATAGACGACAGTAACAAGAATTCTTGCTAACGTTTTACTGAAGACAGAAAAGATAGTAACAACAATTCTTGCTAACGTTTTACTGAAGACAGAAAAGATAGTAACAACAATTCTTTCTAACATTTTACTGAAGACAGAAAAGATAGTGACAACAATTCTTGCTAACATTTAACTGAAGACATAGAAGATGGTAACAACAATTCTTATTGATATGTTACTGAAGATATGGGAATAAACAAATAACAACGATTCTTGCCAACATTTTACTGAAGACATAGAAGATGGTAACAACAATTCTTATTGATATGTTACTGAAGATATGGGAAAGAACAAATAACAACGATTCTTGCCAACATTTTACTGAAGCTATGGGAGAGAACAAACAGCACAAACTACTGTTCTCTTTGAAAAATTGACTAGAAGGAATTGAAGTATTATATTATTAGCTTAGTTTATGTATCTTTGACAGAAATGGTAACGAGGCATAGTATCAGAACATAAGCTGAGAACGAATGAAAATATTCTATTATAGAACCTGAAAAAAAAAAAAACGTATTCAGGGTAATGTTATAAACGTTAACTTTCATATCATAGAGAATCTCAATATATATAACAGCTAAAGCGATTGGATTACAGAAGCTGATGCTGAATCTTTCTCACCAATGGAATCAAAACCTTCCATAAATACTAGTTAGGATCAGATACAGAATTAATAGATGACGAGAGAATTGATAATATTTCTTACAAGGTTTGCTGCCTGTTTTATATTTACCTAAGTTACATCAGACCCGCAATGTTTAAAAATCGAACATATAAAAACTTAAAACAATAAAAAAAAAGGGGTTTTCCATTTACCAAAACAGTTTCTAAAAGTTTTAATAATACGACGCCTTGATACATGTAGAAGCTTCTTTTACAGTTAAACCATTGGAACATAACTCATTATATAACATTTGATAGATTTCGAGGGAAAGAAATCGTTCTTTCAAAAGTTGTTTTGGTGTATATGCAAAATAAGGAATATTTTTTTGTACATATATAAAGTTCCGGGAATGCTAAATAAACATTTTTCGAATTTTCTGTCCAGTAAGTGACAGATTTAGGAATGTATTTGGGAGTTTTTTTGTTTTTTTTTACTGTAATAGATTAGTGTTTAATCCTCCAATCATAGGCTAACAAGAATTAATAACTTCTAAACTTTCAATAACTGGACAGAATTAAATTTGCGATGAGTTGAAGCTGTAGTTAGACCTCAAAACTCAATGATGGTTGTACATTTTCATTTGCACGACCTGACAAGTAAAAAACAAATTGTAATTCTAAAACATCAAAAAGCAAATAAATGATCTTTGGTATCAGTTTCACTGATAAAAGTTAACGAGAGACACTTTACAGTGCTAACAGCGTAGCACTAGACTTGGACAACGATATGGTACACTGTGAAATATATATTCACAATTTCCATATAGGGTTACTGTGCGTTATAGTATTTTGTCTGGAATGTAGGTCATATTCTAATAGACCAGAAAGAATATAATTAGTCTTACCTGTACAGTTTGCCACAGGAAACCATTATCAGGACCGCCGAAAGCTATCATGACTCCGGGGAAGGATTAATGTGAGGGCCCCCTCTTGTCAATCAATTTCCCCCATGTCTCTCGGGGTATTGGGCCCAGGGGAAATTTTTTCGACCTCTCCTCCCTCACTGTGTGTCTGACCGTTATTACTGTGCTGGACTAAAGCCAGTTGTAACTAATGCTAGTAAACTGACCTTTTAATCACTCACAACTGTGTATATTTCCTAATTTAGTGCATTTGGTAACGACTGTTAAGAATTTTATACTTTGTTTTCTTTAACAGTTGTGAATGAAATATTGTTTTACTGTAAAGTTACACTAATATTATGAAACATATGGACACAAACTTTGTTTTGAGTGAACTTTTCTCCACCCTTAAATATAAATACAAAAATCGAACTTAAAAAGCCGTGATAAATAAGCTTCTTAAACTCATACTGGAAAAAAAAGTGATGCTAATTCTTTAGTATATGACCAAATTCTGCAAAGCAAAAAACTAGTTTTGGTTGATAAGGAAAGGTGTTTAATGCTGAGATAATACTAGGTTTGTGGAAGTTTTTGCTGATATTGTGTTTTCCAAAAATTATACAAGCTGTTACAAACCAATTACAGGTGGGCTGCATCCAGACTGAGGTGGCACAGGTCATAAGGGTGTCACAATCTGTGGTCAATAGATTGCGGAGTGGACACCAGAACACAGGATAATATACCAAGAAGCTAGTCGCAGAAGGACTACACAGGTGCGATATCTGCGGAATTTTTCTCTTAGAAACCGCACCAGCAGCGCTAGGGGTCTCGGAAATGAGTTTCAAGCCACTGGAGTTCGTGGATCATATTCAACGGCCAGGAATAGGTTTCATGAGGTTGGGTTCAGGTCCAGAATACCAGTTAGAGCTCCTGCACTAACTCCAAGGCACCGAACAGCCCGACTGGAGTTTGTCCAGGAACATATCACCTAGACCCTTCAGCAATGAACCCCTATACTGTTCACAGATGAGAACGGGTTCTGTGTATCTTCAAGTGATTGACGTGTGAAGGTCTGGAGAAATGAGGGAAAGTGATATTCGGTCTGTAACATTGTCCTCCATGATGGTCTGGGGTGGCATCGGCATGCAGGGGCGTACAGCCCTTTATTTGGTGGATGGAGGAACCCTGACAACAAGACGTTATGTGGATGAGATTATACTACCCGTTGTTCTCCCTTTTGCTGGTGTTGTCGCAGATGAGTTCGTGTATCAACAGGATAACATCTGTCCTCACACTGCCAGAATCATGCAGTAATGTTCCAGGATGAAGGAATAGAGATACTGGACTGGCCTGTTAAGTCACCGGACTTAAATCCGACTAAGCACATGTATGACTTACTAGGGAGAGCAGCTAAGAGACAGACAACCTGTTCCTACCATTGTCCAGGATCTCAGAGCTGCCATCATCCAGGAGTGGACTGGGCTATCCCACCAAGTCATCCAAAATGTCATCAGCAGTATAAGAAACAGGCGCAGAGAAGTCATAGACAGTAGAGGAGGACCTACCAGTTACTAAAGACTCATTTTGTTAAGTTTGTTCATCTCAATAAGTTATTTTGTATTTGATATTTGTGCAGCGAACTATTGCATTTTTTGTTACTTGTAATTTTTTTTCTATTTGCTTAGTGTCGTTTACATGTGGTATTTGCAATAAACAATTTTAGTCAATACTGAATGTCTCTCCGTTTTTTCTTCAAAGTTTGAAAAAAAAACAATAACAAAAAACACATCAAAACCTCATTATCCGTTACTTTTTTTGAGTAGTATATATATACACACATATACAAACATGTATTATATGTATATATATACACAAAACTTATATATATATACACACACACATACAAACACTTATTATATATATACACATATTCAAACACGTATTATATATATATATATTCACAGCATTTATATCTCTTATTCCATTTATTTTACCGTAAAGCTACATAGTACACTATCCGTAATCTGTCCCCCCGCGGAGGATCGAACCTCTGATTTCAACATTGACCCACCGGGGGACAACTATATATCTACTTACAATGTTTGTGAGTGACAACATTATATACTAAGACAAGGGAGAAGTCACTTCAAATGAAATGTAAAAAATATATATATTTCTTCCATTATGGCAACGCCGGTAACTTTCAAAGATTGCATTAGTTCCTTTTTGACGCGATAATTGGCATGCACAAATTACTTTTGTTTTGATTTAAACTCAATTGAGGTTCTTATATACTATGAAAGTTTACAGGAAAACAAATCAGAAAATAATGGCATACCCGTTTTAAATTACATAAATATTTTCATATTTTGAAGTCCCCTGATGGGTCGGCGGTAAGTTTACGGACTTGCAACGCTAAACAACAACAAAAAATAAAGCCACGATCTGGTTTGGTTTGTTATGAATTTCGCGCAAAGCTACACAAACGCTACTCGTTCCTAATTTAGCAGTGTAAGACTAGAGAGAAGGCAGCTAGTTATCACCACCCACCGTCAACTCTTGGACTAATCTTTTACCAATGAATACCAATGAATGATCGTCACATTATAACGCCCCCACGGCTGATAAGGCGAGAATGTTTGATGTGACAGGGATTCGAGCCCGCAGATTACGAGTCAAGCGCCATAACCACCTGGCCACCAAGATTTGAAAACGTACTGGAAAACTAGCATGGATAATATATTTACACCATATCAATCAAGAGCAACGTACAAAATGTATGTAGTTATTCTACGGACAACCTTTGTTCATAATAAATATATATTAATTGTTTTAAAACTTTAATAAAAAATTGAACTCTCAACAATCTGTTTCTGTCGTTAAATATTACAACTTTCTATAAATTTCTAAAAACAACTACTACTTTACACAATTCTAATAATCATCTTACGATTTTTAACGTTATTTCATGAAAATCTTAATACGACGTCTATATTATTTGCCAAAAGTTATTATTTTGTTATAAGAACTTAAACATGTTACTTCGGTTCTTTATTGCTGATTATTCTAATGTTCACTACGAGGTTGTTGACGGTAACAATAATCTGGAACATAAAACAGCTGAATCTTAAACCAGGAACTGCACTCTTTACAAAGAATTCTGTGAAACAGATAAAGACAAACAAATACGTTAACGGACGGACGTAAGGAGACGAAAACTAGTTAACAGACAGGCAAGTATATATAGATAATAGACAGCATGACAAGTTTGATACTTAATACAGCTTCACTAATATAATCCAGAAGCTCTTGTAATTCTGTCGCTAATAAAGCCACGGCTTCAATGGTTTACAGCTTTAAAATCACAAATGGCATAGATATAAGTGTGTGTAACTTGCTTTTAAACACACCTTTGGTAACACTGATTAGATTACGAAGTGCTCGCTCAAACCCCTTTTCAATGTCGTCATTTTACGGAAAATAGCATAGTCTGTCTATTCGATTCCTTTGTTCCAGAGTTTGAGAAATAACGACATTGCCAGTAGTGCTAAATCAACCCTCCCAGCGCAGGGCGTATATACTGCCGGCAATTCACTTAGCCTTACGGCGAGGAGACAAAAACACCAGCGAGTTTAGTGTTGAAAAAAAGGTAGTATCTAACCGCGCATGTAGTAGACTCTCGCCTTCGGTGGTGTAGAATTTCCAGAGAACGATTAATCTGTTTTTATATCATTTTTATTTATAAAAGTTTTTCCCCCTTTTCCTTTTCTAAAACTCTCATCATCAGTATTTGCCATAAGAAGGGGCTAAAGCTCATTAATCACAGGGGGAGAGCAAGCTCCTTTATCAGACAAACAAGGCGCAACCCGTTCGTCACTAGCTGTTCCTGTACACGGCGTCGGTAAACCCAAGTTCGTTTCTGGTATGTCTGGACGGCTGAAACAACCAGATATTCGGCCTCTACTTGCCCCGAGAGTAGCCCCTGACTGAACTTAAAACGTCTATCAAAGGCAAAAGGTAGGTGTGGCGTCCCTGTTAGTCTTGAAATCGTGCTGTGTTAAGAAATACAGAATACATAGAACAAAGATTCGTAGTTGAACATTCATTTTTACTACAGAATGTTTCCATAAAGATACAGAACAATTTATTTATTCTAAATAACGTTCACTACTACAAAATATACCATATCAAGGCTGCTTTATTTTAAATATCTTGTTAAAATCACTTACGTAACAACATGAGGTTAAAAACTTGTTGCATCATGAAAAAAATCTAACTAGGCTTGTCATTTCTTAACTAAATATTAAAAGAAGATCAAATTTTTGGAACTTCAATCCAATGCAGGCATTATATTAACAATGCACTACCTCCACTGGAATATTCTGGTCGTCTCTTAATAATCCAGTTACCATGCTTGCTACATAAGTATACTACACAATGTTGCATGCCCAATCACTATATACACACACACACTACTGAAGGCTGTACTTATTTTTGAAACGTTTCAATAACCTGAGAAGAACTGATGTATTGAGAATGATCTGAAACAAACAAGTCATCGAAACCGATCGTGTTCACTCTAACACCTGGCAAGGTGTTTCAATAAAACAAGGATAATGAAACAAACTTTGACGAGCTAGGTAAACACATAAACCGTTTCACTACCAAATCTAAGCATTTTTAAGAAGATAAATTAATATTTAACCCTCAAATTATCGACTTGTTTTAATACTCTTCACTGTTAGTGAGGTCCACACACGACTCTTATACCGTTCATTGTTAGTGAGGTCCACACACGACTCTTATACCGTTCATTGTTAGTGATGTCCACATACTGTTTTTATACCGTTCATTGTTAGTGAGGTCCACACACGACTCTTATACCGTTCATTGTTAGTGATGTCCACATACTGTTTTTATATCGTTCATTGTTATTGAGGTCCACATAATGTTTTATACCGTTCATTGTTAGTGAGGTCCACACACTGTTTTATACCGTTCATTGTTAGTGAGGCCCACAAACAGTTTTTATACCGTTCATTGTTGGTGATGTCCACATACTGTTTTTATATCGTTCATTGTTATTGAGGTCCACATAATGTTTTATACCGTTCATTGTTAGTGAGGTCCACACACAGTTTTTGTACCGTTTACTGTTACTTAGGTCCACACACAGTTTTTGTACCGTTTACTGTTAGTGAGGTCCACATACTGTTTTTATACCGTTTACTGTTAGTGAGGTCCACATACTGTTTTTATACCGTTTACTGTTAGTGATGTCCAC